GCGCTGCTTGCCGGGCTTACTGCCGGCATCTTCCCGTGCCTGATATCCTCCCGTGCCGGTACCGAAGGGGCCTGGCATGTGTCTGACATGTTCCTCCGCGGTCGGTCCGCAGTCGGCAGTCATGGAAAGATGCCATGGATACGGGGTTGGGAGGTTCCGAGACGTTCCGAGGCTATTCGATGTTCTGCCGTGCGGTGACGTGGAGGTCAATTTCCGCTCGACTTCCGCCATCCGTATGTGGACACAAGTGGGTACAATTTGGACAAATGTGGGTCAAAATATAGACACAAGTGCGTGGTGTACCCACTGCGATGTCGGACAGAAGTGGGCACTCTGTTGAGGCCTTGCGCGCGTCGGCGGCATTAGGGCCGAAGGTGTGCCTGAAAGTGGGAAAAACTCGATGCCCGTGCTGTGCATGGTCCCTGGCTGTGTCGCCCAGGTGTCAGAATGGGGTTTTGAGTCGTTTGGGGGCCGCCTATGGAGTGCGCACGCGCTGGATTTTCGAGTACCCACTTTTGTCCGAGAATGGCGTGGGTATACCCACTTGTGTCCATTTCCCTTTTATATATCTTATTTTAGAGCCGTTATTCTGTTCTGCGAAACGAGACCTTTTTTTTTTCTCTCAACATTGGACTCTGTCGTCTGCCCCTCTGGGCCCTATCCTCCACTTCTACCAGCTTGACGACCCAACCGGGGTCACATCGGAAGGGGGTTTGACCCCCTCCTGCGGTTCATGCCTGAGGTATTTTTATCGCGNTATATATCTTATTTTAGAGCCGTTATTCTGTTCTGCGAAACGAGACCTTTTTTTTTTCTCTCAACATTGGACTCTGTCGTCTGCCCCTCTGGGCCCTATCCTCCACTTCTACCAGCTTGACGACCCAACCGGGGTCACATCGGAAGGGGGTTTGACCCCCTCCTGCGGTTCATGCCTGAGGTATTTTTATCGCGAGAAGGGTATAGTCTACAGCAATCCCTTCCATCGCGACTTATGAAGTGGATCAAGTTCAGTAACAACGAGCCTTGCAGAGCGCGCTTCCAACGGAGACCAGAATATAATTAGCGAGAAAATACTCACTCTGTCGGGACTCAAACCCATGACCTGGCCCTTAGCAAGCTGCGAGGCTACCCACTAGGCCACCGGGGCGTGTAGATAGTTGGAGATCTGGAGGTTTGAATGAGTGTAGATGAGATGCGAGAATCCGACTGAGGCCTCACGCACCCTTCGTAAACGTCCTGGATCCTTCTGGACGACAACACTGCCGTTACGCGCAGTTTGCTGGTTTAGTTGCTGCCCCCTGCTGCACGCTCTCACACTTTTCCCACCCATTCCCTTCAGTAGTACAACTGTCCCCATACCTACCCCAACCATCAGCATTATTGTGGCAGCGTCATGACGACAATGGCACACATGCTATACTTCGATCACACCGACGATGATTTCATCCCTCTCAAGATCGACAACGACGGCGACAGGTCCTGCTACAAGTGTCAAAGGGCTTTTTGGAAGGGAGAGACGATCGAAATTATCCCGCCTAACACCGTCAAAAACAAATCTGGGGCTGCCAACTACGCCTGGATTGGGAGGAGGTGTCGCTACAGCTGCGAGGAGGGAGCACGGGTCGCGAGAGCTAGGGCAACCTCCAGGCAAGGCTCTTCACATTGTTAGCATGCATATGCATGCACAGAACGGCTGGTTCAAGGATTTTTCCGGATCGGTTGTGGTATGAAAAGAAATGCACACGGAGCAGAGATGTACATCTGAACGAACATGATCTGCACGCTCACCCACCACACTTCGCCATGCAACGCATTTCATTCCAGTGGAGGCACAACTTGTCGCTTGCATCGAACGTTTATCTATGCACCAAAACAGCGCGCATGTTCTCCCATCTTGTCGCTGTATTGGAAGAGAGGGCCCCCGTCCTCTCGCCCCCGTCAGCAAATACACAATGTACGCGTACGTGACACCTTGACTCAGGAAGAAGGTTGATTTGCATCCCCCCCCCGCGTTAGGCCCCCCTCGAGACTGACACCCGCCGCGTGGACGGACCACGCAAATGGGTCGACCGGTCAAATGCATGATCTTCGTACATGTTCATGTACGTCGATACATGCTATACATGCCCCCTGTTGCGTGCGAATGATGCCTGTGTTCCTTTGGAAGGAGCACGGTCTAGACTACAGGTCCTCGCGGAACCACCGTAGAATGTATTCATGTATGTTGAGATCCTCTCCGGACATACGCGCCATGTTTTTCCTGGTGGCCTAAACTACATGAACGTACTCCAAAACATTCGAGGTCGGGGTTGTCTTGCACGGAGACTCTACACTCGACGTGCGGTCAACGACGTTGTTTCCTCTTTTATATAGGCTGCTGGTGGGTTGTTCAGTTATTCAGATTTATATATTTGTAAGGATTACGGGTGGCTGCAGACCCGCCACATTTTTCGAGTCTCTGCTCACTGAACATCATAGACAATTGCAAAAGGGAAATGGACAAAAGTGGGTATACCCACCCCTTTCTCGGACAAAAGTGGGTACTCGAAAATCCAGCTCGCGCGCAGTCCATGTGCGACCCCCACACGACTCAAAACCCCATTCTGGCACCAGGGCGACATAGCCAGGGACCATACACAGCACGGGCATCGATTTTTTTCCACTTCCAGGCACACCTTTGGCCCTAATACCGCCGCGGCGCGCAAGGCCTCAACAGAGTGCCCACTTCTGTCCGACATCGTGGTGGGTATACCCAGCGGCTTCTACTAATTTTTTCATGTACCCACTTGTGTCTATTTTTTGACCCACTTTTGTCCAAATTGTACCCACTTTTGTCCACTTACGGACAGCGGAAACCGAGCGGAAATCGACCTCCACGTCACCGCACGGCAGAACATCGAATAGCCTCGGAACGTCTCAGAACCTCCCAACACCGTTTCCATGGCATCTTTCGTATCCTGGCTGCCGACTGCGGACCGACCGCGGAGGAACATGTCAGAAACATGCCAGACCCCTTCGGTACAGGCACGGGAAAATATACGATACCCGGCACAGCTTGCCGGCGGTACCTTCCCGACGGGAAGATACTGCCGGCAAGCCCCGCCGCCGGCAAGCACGGCATAATGCGTGACACACAACGGACAACAAAACCAACGGGTCGCGCATACAGAACAAAAAGACGCGCATCCATACAGCAACACCACCACACACGCACACAACACACGACGAGTGCACACCGATTCGCGAGGGCAGCAGTAGCATGTCGAGGCATAGTATACCGAATACGGGTATGTATACGAAGGATACAAGGGAAAATTCGGGCCGACTTCCCCTAAAATCAAAACCGATCAAAACCGAACAAGACAAGACGGATACCGTTCGCTACGCTACGTTCGCTACATCAAAGGAACGAAGACATATGCATAGATTGGCAGCACATCGCGTACTCCGGAGACACATCATATTAGCTGGCACACACACACATAGTTTTTTGTGTACTCCGGAGTACATGAAGTTGGGACACACACATAGTTTCACTAGTTTCGAAATGCATGCACTCGAAGTACATAGTTCATGGTACAGCAGGAGGAATCGAATGTGTGCCTGTAGGCCGCATATTCCCATACATACAATGTAGTATTGCATAGGCCCTATTGCATACAACTTCTACGCAAATAAACGCATCTATTACAGATAGATAGAGTAGCCTATGTCCTTCAAGACGACATGGTTCTGCCGTTGTACGGGGGGGGGGGTTGGGTAATAAACGGGGCACGTAACACATCAACTTGGACAATATTAGCACCGTCATGGTTCAGCCCCGTTTTCCTGTGAAGACGAGAGTAGTTTCCGCATGTACAGCACCGGTACATGCGAGGAGTGTACTTGCATAATGCTACATGCGAAATCCCATTATTTTTTTCGAGACGTGTACGCTCATTTATGTGTGTCTTTTAATCGCTCTTCTTTTCCACCGTCTCTTTCGAACAGGCGATTGCCGTCGATTCCATTAAGAAAAATGCTTGTTCGGTAATACCTTGGGCACTTGCTCGGTGTGCTTTTTTCAGAAGGATGCCAGAAAGCAGGTGTGCAGCGCATAAAAAGTATGCACTATTTGTATCGACGCATGCTTCGGACAGCAGCAACGTCAATAGTGTTCCAATTCCACCAGATTCCACCAGATTACCCAGTACCGAGGGACAGAAACCTCGGCAACGGCAGCACCGCCACATCAATGTTGTTACATTTGATCACCAGAGATCAGAACAACGAAACACTCGTCAACCCGTGTCAAAAAATGCTTTCAGACGCCATCTACCCGGAAAACATGATGCAAAACGCGCAGGGAAGGGTCACGTTCAGGGCGAAAACTCCACACTCCTCCGTAGTTGGCAAGCACCAGGTCAAGGCGGCCTAACTTACTCGACAACGCCAATGCAAACATGCAAACATTATGGTCGTCGTCGTCACAGCCCTTTTGTGTGGGCCACACGACAGAGAAATGTCGTGTAGAGGAGGCCATACAGTACCACACCCCATGACAAGCCAACCTCTTGGACATGCGCTTGGGTCTAGACAAACTAACACGAGAACCACACCCCATGACGAGTCAACCTCTAGTACATGCGCTTGAGTCCAGAAAAAAAAACACGAGAAACCGTTGGTAAGAAGAGATCCCAATTTCGTTGTAAATGTCGTTGCTACAGCAGTAGTCCACTGCACTCGCGAAAACCCAGCAATGCCGAGAATGCAAAAGTGCTGAACCAAGCGTAGTGTCGCGCAACACACTGAACAGGGCAACGAAAGGGAGCCCTAACCAACCACGTGACAAGCCTCCGCCCTACAGTCCTCCTGCACGAATGTCTATGCGTGTTGCATCTAGGGTGCACCCTGCGACGCCCCTTGCGACAGGTCCACTGTGTTGGATCCTCCGCCGGCTGCACCCCCACCCGTGGGCATGACCCCAACACCGCCGTTTGCCCTGGCGTTGGCGTTGTAGATGGCGTAAGATCGCGATGACGTGTTCATCTCGCCGTTGGACTGGATGCGCTTTTTCTTGCGTGGTCCTGACTTCGGCCGACCTGCCGCCCCTTCGACCTCCAGCGGTGGGCGGTGCTGGGGGTTGACCGTGAGGTCGTCCCACACGGGCGGGATGATGCGGTACCTCGAATCGTTCGCGGCCGCGCGGTACGTTGCGAGGGAGTACCCCTTGGAGATCAGCTCTAACCCTCGGTTAGCGGTCTCGGTCGCTGTGATGGGTGCACGAAGCAGTGTGGGCCAGGAGGGGTGAACAAACAAGAGAGTGACATTAGTGAGGTGGATAGCTGTGGCCACGTCGTGCGACAAAGGAATACGCAGTGCGATCGAGAAAAGACTCGAGAACTTGTTGGAGGTCCAGAAACAGAAATGGATGCCTGTATGCATGGAAGGGATAAATGTGTGATACGGCAGCGGCAGAACTTGGAGGTCCAGAAACAGAAAGATGATGGATGCCTGTAAGGGATGAATGTTTGATACGGCAGCGGCAGACGGAGACAGGACTCACAACAAAGCGGCGGGTTCTGCGACATGGAGCACACCGATCTTAACCGTCCTCCGTTCCAAATGTAACCTACACATGACGACAGCACCTCGACGACAATGCCAGTACATCGACCAGCGGGAACGGTTGTCCTCACATGGAACGACTGTGTCCTGATTCAAGCAGGACAACAAGCCTTCGTGAGCAAGTTTCCCCAACAATTGCCTCACATTTTGCAACCGCGATGACGTGGCGGCAGGGGATCTTGAACCTCGGGCAAAAGTCGCAGGTGCAGTCGTAGTGGTGTCCATCAGCGTCGTCGCCCCAAGTCAGGTTCACTCGGTTGCTGAGGAACGAGTTCTGCTGGGGGTACACCATGTACTGGTCTCCCCCCACAGGGCTCACCGAAAGGCTGTCGTAAACGGCAGAGGCACGCACAGACAGGAACGATGCGGGCGGTCACGCAAACCTCCACGTTATGAGTCGGTCGCGATGTTTGAATGTCCGAAATGCACACACATGTGTGTTTCGGTGGGAGTGTACTTCGGTAAAACACGCCCTACAGTGCCGGGTCGGAGCGATAGATGGGTACGATTCACGAAGATGATCCAGAAGCTGATCGTCATCCTAGTTTTGCTGTTCCCAACCCGATAGGCCACGGATAGATCGGCGTCCCGGCTACCCAAACGCTATACAAGCATGACTATGCTGAAGTACCGCATGTGACTTCGGTCTTCGCGCGCTCCTACCGACGCCACTTCGTCTGTTACGCACTTGTGGTTTGTTGTGTTTGGGAGGGGCAATACCTCTACGCCAACCGAACCCGCAAGGGGGTGCAATACTCTCGCACCAAACGAAACAGGGACGGACATACGGTTTGTCCGACAGAGTTGACCGAAAGCCTGCCCTGAATTGGAAGCATTGCACCGAAGGGCGGAAACATTGTGGGCAGCCACGAAAATATCGGAACTACTCGATAGTGGACCACGTCGGAGTATGTACACCTGACGTGCAGAATTTGCTTGTGGTTTCGGGAACCCGTGCGTCAAACGAATAAGTACGGGGATAGGCTACCACTCAACCCATGAGTCTGGGGCCATGCCAACATCTGGCCAGACACAGCCGCCTACGAGTTTAGAGCCATGGCGTCGGGACGACGATAATTTTCCACGAAACAAAGTTCATGCCGAACGCAAGACGCCTGATGGTGCCGCGCTTACCTGTCTGCCAGGACGAACTCCGCTTCCCAGGTCTTCGTCGCAAATGGCGTCACGAGAGCGTTGTGGTCGCCGATCTTGGTCTTGGCCGCCTCGTCCAGCCTCCTCGCCGTCTGTAGGACGATGTCGTGCACAAATCCCAACACCGACTTCGATCTTGTCTGCGTCGAGCACGAATTGAAGAGGGGGGGGCCAGAGGGTAGTGTGATAAGTTTCTTGTCTCAACGGCACGGCGAAACGGAAAAACAAATACGGATTTGATGGCGGGCTATAGGGGGTACGTCCAACACCAGCCGTGCCTGGGGCCGCTTCCTATGCAAGGCGTTCGACGTATCATGGGAGTCCCTGGTTTAAGCAACAAAAGAAGGTTACTACCCTGCCCTTGATTCTATGCTACGCGGGCATCAAAAACAAAACAAATGATAGGAGGGAACGCCAACGTGAACGAGGGCTCCCAATCGGATCACATAGCCTGTATCGGTGTCAAAATACAAACAGCCGTCGATCTAAAGTGCATGGCGTCGTGACAGCTATCAAGTATTCCTAACAAACACACCACGGCCATCTGCACCTCTTTCCCGACGAGACTGTTGACCGACTCGGCCATGTTGGACCCCGACTGCTCCCAGATGACGTTCTTCCTGCACGCGTAGTTCGCCCATGTGTTGTGCTCACGCTTGTTGAGCTCGATGAATGCCTTCGGGTTCAACTTCTCTACCTCGTTCATGTGGTGGTCGAAGAGAGCCTTGGTTGCCGCCTGCGCCGCCTGGTACACGTGGTACCTCCCTTTCTGCAAAGCATATGTACGTACGGAAAGAGACAAGCATGCCACGGGAGGTTCGCGTACGGTTAGGCCGAGTGCAGACCGACGATAACTTACTGGTGAGCCTTACTATCGGGGCGAAAGAGAGAGCGAGAGAGTCGTCGGTTCATGCACGCCAACGCTCTGGACACAATCATGCACGTGCCGCACCCGCACGAAGAATTGCTAAGTAAGTCGAGCAGCCCTTACAGCCCAAACGAATAATCCCAAGCAAGGTTGAAGTACGCTGTCAGATTGCTACGAGCCGAAGTACCGAAAAATAAACCATTGCGAACACCCCAAATGAGTCATGTAGAAATCCCAAACCGCCTAGACCGGTACCAAAACACCTCTTAACACTCGTCCGGCAACACACACTCGAGAAAAAGGTTGGTCACCGTTATCTGCGGGGGACTCCTGTGCACATGATGCTAACGGACTACTTAATTACTTTTTGCAGTCACGGCAAGGCGTAGCCGTAGCGGCAGACTCACCGGTCCGATGCACCCTACAGTCCTGGTGAGGTGCTCCACGCAACGGCGGTGTTCTGTCAGCGGGCAGATCTTCGGAACGGCGGCGTCCGAACCCTTGTGCTTGTCGGTGAAGCACGTCGTGTTGACGTTGTTGAGGATGGTCTTCAGCTCGGGGAACTGCATCGCCCTGGTGAGGAGTTCGGTGTACATGGCTGCATTCTCCTTGGCTTGAACCATGGTGGCGACGTGGATGATCTTGTTGTTGGCGTCCTTGAAGGAGATGGCCCCGAACTGGCCGTTCCACACGTCGTGGAAGGCTGCAGCATCCATCGCGAAAACCTGAACGAATGAAGAAACGGAGGGATGGAGGGAAGAGAAGCAAGAGAGACGGGGAGAGCGTGAGGGAGGAACGGTGGGAGGGGTGGGTCATCAAAAGAAGAGGAAAGAAGCACCGACGCGGATGGGCGCGAATAATGCGCGAAAGGACGTCAACACGTGCAACCACTCGTCCAACTGAATGTTCGCTTGCTTGCTTGTGCTTGACGAGGCAAACCACTCGTGGCTCGAGAGGGGGGGTCCCCCCCCCCCCAACCGTCCTGTCCCGTGCCGTTTTGCCCCCCGGTGTTTGCCATCGGGGTTGGGTTTTCGCCGCTTGACAACGACGTTGTAAAACAAGCCGATCGCTTGGTGAACTCGACAACCAGGTTACCGTTTTATTTTGCCTTTGTCTTTTTTGGCGATAACCTTAGTGGTGATCGAGTAGAGACTGTTGTGCGGGGTCGAGAACGCTCACTCCGCCCCAAGGGGATGATCGCACCAGATTGTGTTACATTCGTCGCGCACCCTCGAGGCAGTTACAAAGTGCTTCAAACAGAAAATAAATGAAGTCATTCGCAGCTGTCATCCATACGCAAGGAAGTAAGCACAGATGCCGAACACCCTTAGCAGGTAACAGCGCACCCTTCATGCGACTCGCCGAATACCTCACGGCGCTTCGCGCTTGGTGATGTGAGAGCCTGGTCCGGTGAGAACCCGGCGTGTTTCCGCCCGGCTTTGTAGGGATGCGAGGTCAATGGTCTAACGACTACAGCGTGCACAACATGAGTAGCCCCCCCCCCCCCCCCCCCCCCTCCCGGCACGTGTGGCGGACTCAAGCAAAGTACGCCATCCAGCATGCAACGCGTACTGCAGTAAAACCCAGCACACAACAGACTGTTGTGACCTACATGTTTCGTACAACGGGTGCCAACGGCTGCTCATATGCAAAGAAAGCAGAGCAGAGACTACTACACTACTGTACTACTGCTGCTGCTGAAGACAAAGGCGCTTGTATGCAAACTACACTGCTTGTTTACATGATCTTCGTCAAACAAACGTACAACCACACACATTCACAGTTACAGTTCATGCTGCTGGGGCACGCCTTTGTATGTCACACAGCTGTGCGTATCTCTCGCTTTGTCTAAATCTGCTGTAGCTGCACAGCAGTAGGTGCAGTCACACCGCATGCCTGCATGACACGGAACCCCCGCGTACCCCCCCTCTACAAATTCTTCGAGCAGGGGGGGGGGGCACCTCCGGACTTATATTTCGTTTGTTTTCGATGTTTTCCGTGTCAAGTAAGAGTGTCGCACAAAGTCACGAAGTCTTCCTGTAACAATCGCTAAGACCAAAACCGAGAACCACCCGCGGACAGGCACTTGCTAGCTCGCAATTTACCTGCTGAACGCCGGCAGTTGCCTGCCGCGCCGCCGCGCCGAGCATCACGAACAGGCTTTCGAAGTTGCCTGCGTTGTCCCACTGTTTAATTGTTTCAAATCAGCATGACGGAAAGGGGTAGGGAGCAAGAGAGAGGGTAAGAAAACAAGTTGGTGTTGCTCGTCTCTGTGCAGCAGTACCCCCCCCCCATACTTCCCTACACCTGCGTCGCCCCTTTTTCAAATTTTGAAGGTATTCTACATGCCGAGTAGGGAAGATGCCACCAGCAGGACGAGGACCAAAACGGCGAGTGCAGGGCTGCTTGCATGCAAACAATGCAAGAGTCGCCTAACGCCTAGAACTGATGCGTGTTACGTCTATGCATTGGCTTACATCGGTATTACAACCGGCGAGATGTAGGGGCGGCAGCAACATTTGCGACGAAAAGAGCGGGAAAACATCGCAAAAACCTGACGGATCAGCAGCGCAGCTTACTGCACTCCATCTTCGTTGTAGGATGCCAGGGAAGAAAAAGAAGTACAGCAGTATAGAACCACTCTCACGAGCACCTCCATGGCATCTCGACGGTACGGACTTTCCAACTCTAACGTAGGACACATTATACTCACTTTGCATTCGACAACGTTGCCGTTGTCCCTTCCCAAAAGATCGCAATAGCTCTGGAGTAATTGGTACTCCTTCGCGATCGTGTCCTTGCCCTTCCCAAGGATGTCCGCGCGCATCCGGCCAGCGGTCCTCTCGCTAATGTCCACGCCGGAGGTAGCCTTTAGAGTCTTCGCGAGTGCCGGACAGGTGATGCTACGGTTGGAGCTCACAAGCGCCGCCGCTTCCTCCTCCACACAGCGGCGGTTGATGCGCTGCTTCTTGTTCCCGGCCTGGCCTGTGCACGCCACATGATCCAGGACGACCTCCGTCACCTTCCAGGTGCCATCGTGAAGCTTGCACGCCCGGGCAAGTACCGGGCAGCCGGATGTCGCCTTCCCGTTGATCACTGCTCCAGTGCAGCGGTGGAGCTTGCCCCGACCGCCACTAACCCTCTTGTCGAGGCGGCACTGCCGAGACGTCGAGATCATGCACCGCTCAATCGCCCGTTTGAACTCCCGAGATGACGAAAAAATCTGACCGTATCTCATGGCGCCGCCAGCAGTTGACGGAGGTGCGCCCGCGCTTGGCCCTGCGCCGGCGCCCTGCAGGGCAAACTGCCTCGACATGCTACTGCTGCCCTCGCGAGTCGGTGTGCACTCGTCGTGTGTTGTGTGCGTGTGTGGTGGTGTTGCTGTATGGATGCGCGTCTTTTTGTTCTGTATGCGCGACCCGTTGGTTTTGTTGTCCGTTGTGTGTCACGCATTATGCCGTGCTTGCCGGCGGCGGGGCTTGCCGGCAGTATCTTCCCGTCGGGAAGGTACCGCCGGCAAGCTGTGCCGGGTATCGTATATTTTCCCGTGCCTGTACCGAAGGGGTCTGGCATGTTTCTGACATGTTCCTCCGCGGTCGGTCCGCAGTCGGCAGCCAGGATACGAAAGATGCCATGGAAACGGTGTTGGGAGGTTCTGAGACGTTCCGAGGCTATTCGATGTTCTGCCGTGCGGTGACGTGGAGGTCGATTTCCGCTCGGTTTCCGCTGTCCGTAAGTGGACAAAAGTGGGTACAATTTGGACAAAAGTGGGTCAAAAAATAGACACAAGTGGGTACATGAAAAAATTAGTAGAAGCCGCTGGGTATACCCACCACGATGTCGGACAGAAGTGGGCACTCTGTTGAGGCCTTGCGCGCCGCGGCGGTATTAGGGCCAAAGGTGTGCCTGGAAGTGGAAAAAAATCGATGCCCGTGCTGTGTATGGTCCCTGGCTATGTCGCCCTGGTGCCAGAATGGGGTTTTGAGTCGTGTGGGGGTCGCACATGGACTGCGCGCGAGCTGGATTTTCGAGTACCCACTTTTGTCCGAGAAAGGGGTGGGTATACCCACTTTTGTCCATTTCCCATTGCAAAAGCTTTCGACTCCACGCTGAGTGAACCAAGGGCCCCAAAGGTGCTTCTTTTTTTTTTGTCGATTGTGGAATCGGGACCGTTGCATTTCTGACGTGAAAGTCGTGGGTGGTATATCAGCAAAGCGCGGCACAACCTCGCGAAGGCGGTCCGGCAAGAGAGGGGGGGGACTCAACTTCACCCCCATCACGCCCCCCGTCCAGGTATTTTACTGCCACAAATAATAGTTGCATAGTCTACACTAACATCTTGACTTAGGTGGTGGTGTACGGCCCGGCCCGCCTTAGGGGCCCCTCTAGGCTGCCACCCACCCCCGCGAATTGGTCACCTTACCTGCTGTTGGTTCCATTTTCAAAGAGGCGGAGAGATGGCACCCCTCCTGGACCGACTTTCAAAAGGTCGAATGCTCCACAAGCAAGATTGCTCCTAAAGATATTTCGAAACATCCTCGTCGAGGGCTTTCCGTAGACAGACAAACGTCTGTATCGGGCTCTTTCCTCACCATCTTGGTCGCGCAGCAATCGGGCTTTCTTTGTGTGCTGGTATATGGGGATCGTACCTACCTTGTAGTTGGTCTAGGGAGCGTGCCATCTCTCCGCCCTCTTGCGGTGTGTTACGTCGAAATTTTTTCATGCACGCTCTCGTTATACCTCACACTGGTGGCCAGAGACAGGTTGTGGGTAGGTTGGGGCACCAACTACAACCTGGGGGGCAGGTTGCAGGAGGTTGCGGCCCAACGTCTGCACGTTATCCCGCATCTTGGATAGTGGCGTTATGCCAATCAACACGGCAACACGGCGGGCTGCAAGCCTGAAGAAAAAATAGGTTGAAGGTCGAACTCGGCCTCCCAACCTCCCCCCCCCCCAGGTTGTGGTTGGTGCCCGACCTGCCCCTCTGGCCACCAGTGCAACCTTCTGCACAACAAGCAGTATCCATCCATGTGTGCCCCGTTTTGCGTGCGAAGGCTTGAACTCACTGGACTCCTCATTCATTGTGCAAGCGTGGCGCCCAACTACTGTAAGAGGTCCTTCTAGAATACCTTACACTTGGTAAGCTCAGAGCCAACAGACTTTGTACCATTATTTGGCGGGTGACCGAAGTAGAGTCTTGCAAGCTGGTCCTGCAACCTGAGTTTCACAACTGACTGTTAACTATTTCGGGAAATAAACCGTGTGGGTGACGTCTCCTACTCTATACCCTCTCCGTACAACTCAAGGTGCATGCTAGTACCAGGTCCTGCTGTACCTTTTTCCTTCTGTGGTTACCGGCGGGACCCAAAAAAGGTACAAATGTGACGGTAGCCAGCCGAAGACACGACCCCAGTCCAAAATCATGATGTCGACTGCCTTCAGAAACATCGTTCCACAATAAAAACAGGCGGTAGCTCGACAGCCGGATGCAGGCACCCTCCGTAAACGATTATTTTCGCAATTTCGTGCCGTCCCGCTGGTGGTGTTCTCTAGTTTATTAGTCTACCAATCGATTCGTGTATTGTCCGTCCTCCCCCCCCCCCAAGTATGTACGTCCTTACCGGCGAAAGACATGGACGGATGGCGTTTTTCGACAGATCAGCAGTCTCACGTCCTCGTCTGAAGCTGCCTCCCTTTCCTCTCGCCCCACGTCCTTTCACAGGGGGGGTGAAACACATGATGATGTTTCGCGACACAGCAGCACTACTAGGCCCTGGTTTCTGGCGAGGGTTATCGCGTCGATCAGGAGCTGTGTTTGCCTGTGAGCCGAAGCAAGGGCGCATTGTTTTGGCGCTGGACGTGTGGCGTTCACCTTTCGCTACCTGTGATTGATGTGGACAGATTGTGCATGTCACGGCAGAAGATGAAGTGGAGGCAACAAGATGAAGTGGAAGAGGGGGGGTCGGGCGACTGACAACATGGCGAGAACAGAGGCAGGGCATCGAACATGCCCTTGTGAGATAGTTTTCGCGCGCTCCAACTCGTTGGCGCAAGGGATACATGTATGTGTGCTTGGAAATGTATGCTTCATTGAGAACTGCTGCCAAGTCCGTTGCGTGTTTACCTCGGTTCTTGTGTTTCTCCCTACCTACTCTTTGCGGCGAGAGCTACCACACTTCTTTGTCGGAAGGAAGGGCCAGAGTAGGCGTACACCAATGCACGTGCGTGCGCGGGGACAGACAGTTGGAATATTGTTTGCGAAGGTCGAAGACCTCTTGCCTTGTTGTTGCTGTGCCTCGTCGCCGATGGTAGGCTGATCTGGTCCCTCTGGTGTGTTGGGCTGGAAGCTTGTTGCGATCTGTGCGTAAGAAAAGAAATGAGCCTTAGCTGCCTTCAGGGCGGTACAGTAGTTATACTACAGACGTCTGTCAGTCGTTTGTCCTCTTTTTTATCTTTTTCGTCGCATATGAGGCTTGTGAAGCTCTGCCAAGAGCACAATCACGTCACGTGCCTATCTACATAGATCGGAGTTTACTGGGTAGGATATACCTCCCGGTCACTCGCCTCGGTTGGTTCATCTGCCCCTGCCCGTGTGTTTCCTTTCCTACCGTACGTTGCTCTTAAAAAAAGTCAACGAAAGTAGGACCATCACATTGACAACTCGCTGTGCTTTTTTTTACCACATTGATCGATTGACAGGTTACTTAAGACGTACAGTAGGTATGTAAATGTTGTATGTATGCTGGTCTTGTTTTCTTTTTTTCTGTCCTAATGATAGCAAGACAGAAACATATCAAATGAATGTTGTTATGCGCACGTTGGTGCAATCTTTTCTTAGTCCTTCCTGTCCCCCAGAGCGCACGCGACGGGGTTAGCACTGCGTTCAGTGTACGTTTGCCGGCCGTTTTTTGTCTGTTCGCATTAACTCTCATGTATACCGAAAGTGTCTTCGATACTGCTTTTTCGCTTTCTTCTTGGATGCATCGTTGGCCTTGTTCGGTTTGTCGCTCGTTGTTGGTTGCGTTGGTATCTGTTTGCAGTTGATCATGTATGATGGTCTTTGTCCGATATTTTTCGCAGCGCCAAGGTGCCCTTTTCTTTTTGGGTAGGGGTAGTTGTTCCGACGACTATGCATTGCAACAACATCGTAAGTACCCGCCTTGCCACGGCAGAAGTCGGTTTTTTGTTGTCTCTACGTGTTCTTCGCGTTTCACAGGAAGATCGCGAATGATTTTCTCAACACCCCGCCAACGAAATAGGCGAAAAATATACTGCTTGCGGTCTGAACCCCGCCGCACCTCAAGGAGGGTACGGGTACGTACGGACCTATGATACCTCTTTTGTTGGATGGAGAACATTATGAGGAACAAAGTGAGTGGCAGATCAGGGACGGGCGTGGAGATAGTTTAGTATGATTCCCGTGTTTTTAACGTGCTGTCTTCATTTCCAGCGTCGACCGCGCTGAAAAACTAAAGCACGTCGTCGTCGGTCTCCTTGAGCCGTCGCAAAAAAAAAAAAAAAAAAAAAAAAAAAAAAAAAAAAAAAAAAAAAAACGGGGTGGGTGTGATGGCGTGGTCGTCGCGTCTCGTTGCCCTTCCTTGACAATTTGGGGCATCGCTTCTACCCAAAGTCAAATCATCCATGGACGGAGGCGTTTCGGTGCACCATGAAGGGAGGGAGTGCTCCTTCCTTTAGAAGAAGAAACGCTCGGCTCGAGGGGAACGCACCCAGCCTGAGGGGAGAAGGCAAGGAAAGGAAACCATTCTTATTTTTGCCACATCGTAATGCCTACTACTACTACGTCAGGCATTGTTGTCACCAATCAATGAGTTCATTCGTCGCCGTCCGTCCTCATCATCCATCACATCCGTTCCTAGGGCGCGAAAACAAGGCTTACAATGAAAGGCGGCATGATGGAACATTCTAGCCGCGGAAATAAACCACCATAATCATCGCGCCCAAACACCAGAACCACCATGCATGCCGCCCCGACACGATAAGAACGGACACACGTAGGTAGGTGGCTGGACTCGTACAAAAGGTACGTGCGGTATTGAGTTGAATTGAGCTGGCTTGAATACGTTTATCCATTAATTCTTCCAGTACACACCGTCCAAAAACACGTGATGTACACGTTTTCTACAAGTCATATCGGGTTAAACACACATACACCAGGCCTGCGCGCTGTCTTTTGAGAGAGGGAAGAGAAACCCCTCCGGCGTTGTACATACTTCATTACGCCCGACAATACCGGCACCACCATCGATCGAGCTTACTTGAAGGGAATCTAGCATTTTTCTCACATACAATTTTCGACCGGAGCGCCGACAACGGTCCTTGCTGGTGTGCGAAGATGTCGAGGAAAAATTCCTCAACAACATTGGGCCCTTCATTGACACCTGTATTCTCTGGCACCGACGGTTCCTCCTGCAGATATTGCTGGATCGCTACCCACTCCCCCCGCGTAATGGGCGAAAAAGAAGGCACAGAGTCCACATCCCGGCAACAGGAACAAGACTCATAAAAGCGTACAGGGAAAAAAAGAAGCAGCGAGCCGCAGTCAGTCCTAACTGCCAGAAATGCTTCACGAAAGCAAGTCGATCCGCGCACCGGTTTTCGAAGACCGAAATCAACCATGGGTCACACCACGCATCAATCCATCCCTCCGTTACAGAGCAAAAAACATGCCGTCAAACGACGGGCGCACTAAAAGGCCCATGCGTCGGTCTGATGATGAGTGCCCGCACACCAAGCTACACTTGTTACGCTGTTCGAACGCACTACCAACCCCTAAGTTGGTATCTACTGCTGTGAATCGCGATACTGCAAATCATGACCCACCACTATTGGATTCCTCTGTTACGTTCCTTTGGTCGCTCTCGACGGACGGACGGGCACTGCCACGCCAAACTTATACAAGAAGTAAAAAAAATCGTTGGATGTACAAAAGGAAGAAAAAATACGTGAAACGAAGAAAACAGGCTTGACTGCCGAACGTGACGACGGCAGAGGCAAGATTTCCAGCTACAGGTCTCGAGGGTGTGCCACAATACATAACCCAGGAACCTTGGGCAGGTGGCCACGCCTATCATTAGGTAGGTGCCGTATGCAGGGAGCAAAACGTGCCCGCGTCGCGCCCCTGTACTGGCTATGCTAGTCCCTTGGGAAAACACGCCCCCGTCCGTCAATCTTGTGTGTACTCCTTTCGTGTTCTCCGTACAGCACACCGAAACTTGCAAGGGCGTTGATCGTTATCCTAGGAAAAGAATATGTTCCCACCACCAAGCCACCAGTCTATTGCCGGCCCCCTGACATCGTACGAGAGCCGAAAAGACAAAACAGCATACCCCCCGCCCCCTCCCCCTCCCCATCGACCGCGGTCTCCACATACGCCATATGGCACGCTGTCGGGCACGAGCATGTTAACGATCGATCCAGCCTACACCCGTCTATGGTTTTGATATACTCCTTGGTGTCCTCCTCCTCACAGCGAAAACAACCCCTCGCTTTCTTTGCTCCCGGGAAACAGGCAAAAGTGCCAAAAGTGCTTGCGCATGCTTCGCTTGAGCGGCAAAATACCAAGCATCCGTCCGTCCACAAACCCCTCCGTCTGTCTAGCCAAAGCGAGTTGAGCACGGCGGGCGGCATCGCCAGCTCACAACGCGGAAGGGCGTAGCCTCAATCACCATCATGCGCAATAAAAACGCGCGTCACCGAAACACTCGCCCCCCGCAAAAAAAACAATCAAAACGAGCACTCTTGTAGGTCTGACATGGCATGCAGTCATACATAGATACGTACGGCTTGTCATTCTTCCAGGTCAAGAAGGGTCTCCGCTTCGGTACTTTTTCTTCTGGAGCCTTCCCGTCAAACACTGGGCTACGCAACAAAAATCAATAAAGTTCCCTCAGAAAGCGAAGGTATTTTTCGTCCCTCTCTCCTCCTTCCAACTGCTTCCTTCACAACGCGAGACGGATATTTTTGCCTCTGGCGAACACCTCCACCCCCCCCCCCCCCCCCCCCCCCCCCCCCCCCCCCCCCCCCCCCCCCCCCCCCCCCCCCCCCCCCCCCCCCCCCCCCCCCCCCCNNNCCCCCCCCCCCCCCCCGCCTAACTAACACGCGGCTTTTTCCGTAATGAATTATGCTTCCACGCGTCGTCGTTTTCGTTAATGGCTTCCACAAGTCTAGAAGATGTCTAAAAGCTGATGCAGTCGTCCTTGCCGTAGCCAATCTTGGCCAGGTTTGGGATGCAGGCGAACTTGATCATGGCCGGCGGTCCGCACATGAACGCGATCGTCTCCGGCGACGCCTCGGGGAGGTGCGCCTCGCACATGTCCTTCGAGATGAAGCCCTGTGATTGGTCGGGTTGGTTGGTTCCGTCATTCGCCCGAACCAACGAGGAACACGCCGCAGCAAGCACAAAGGGCAGGCGAGGGAAGGAGTGACTTTAGGAGGAGGAGGAGACAAGGGGGAACCCGCTGAGTCTTCGTCGTCATGTCTCATTTCTACATTTGAGAGAGAAGATGCTCGCTCATGCAGCAAAGATGTCCGAACACTGCGACACTACACCTTCGCTGGTTGTGCTGCAGAAAATTCGACCTTTGGAGATCAGCTCAGAGCATGTACGATACCCAACACGTCATGATGCATCCTACGCTAAAGGTCAGATACTGCGACACCCCATACGAAACGAGGACCGATGTTGGTTGCGGTGTCATCCTCATCACCACTGATCCTCCTCATCATCCTCATCATGCTCATCACCCATTACTCGATCAATTGTCATCACCTTGTCGTACTTCCAGTCGCCGCTGGGCCTGTCGAGCGTGTACCACAGCTTGAACCTGTCCGGGTTCGCCTTGGCCAAGGCGTCCAGCTGCAACGATAGAAGGAAAATCACAACAATAGAACAAACCGAGACCGGTGGGGCATGCTATCGATTAAGAGCGGCACTCGGGACCCCATGAACCACAGAGATCGACACGCAGTCACCGTGATGTTGTTCTGCCGGCCACTCGGCACGCACAAATTAGTCGTCTTCTACTCTCTGAGTGAAGAGCAGCATGTCGGCAGCATGTCAGCAGCATGTCAGCAGCATGTCGGCAGCATGTCAGCAGCATGTCAGTAGCATGTCAGCAGCATGTCAGCAGCATGTCAGCAGCATGTCGGCTTGAACAACAGCGGCGCGACAAAAAATTGGCACATCACGGGAAGCCATTGAACAGCATGTCAGAATAGACAACAGCACGAAACGCCGCTGGCAACGCCTCGTGAAAACAACACTTAGGCTTCCGATTTACCGGAAACCAAGGCAAGTGCCGAGGTGCCACATTTAATCGTCCAGTCGCCGACCTACGGAGCCCCCCCCCCCCCCCCCCCCCCCCCCCCCCCCCCCCCCCCCNTCGTCCCTGAGAAGGATGTCCTCTTCCATCTGGTTGGCGTAGATCAGGCTGCACAACGTCTTGTCCGCGGGGTCGCTGAGCACCGCCTTGATGACCTGGTACATCGGAGTGATACCGGTCCCGCCCGCGAGCATGGCGAGCTTGTTGGCGTTCCTGGGCTTGCCCTTGATGAGGAACTGCCCGGGCTCGAGGTACACGATCTCCCCCACCGGACCCTTGATGTCGATCGTGTCGCCGATGTCGAGGGCGTCCAGCATCTGCGACATCTTCCCGCCCTTGGGGAACCTGTCGTTCGGGGTGTACACCTGTAGGG